GGGGATCCAGCGGGTGCTTCGGTTAGTTTCTTTGGGGGCAGGATTCTGGACAGACCCCATCAATGCCGAAGCAAGAAGACTCCCTGTCAATTCAGGGGAAACATCTAGTCGTGAAACGCTGGTTTTTATTCCAAAGGAAGCAAGTCCAACTTAATTTGCCCCACGAGGTTTCCAGATCAGTCCTAGTTCGGGGCAAAGACCAGATTGAGCCTCGCGCAGGCAGCGGAGGGTCAGAACACAAGGGGAAATGGCCAGGCGGCCCGCGACAGGAGAGGGACCTGGCGCCCTCTGCTGGCCACCACGCCACCTGCCGTGCCCGGCCGAGGCAACTCTGATGCCACCGGGATGCCCTTCAACAGGCGAATAGATAAACTGTGGTGACCCAAACAATGGGATATATGTACTGACAAAACATGAGCTATGAAGTGACATCAAGACACGGAGGGAGCGTAAGCGCGTATTACTGAGTGGAAGATGCCTCCTGACCCCAGCTCTGACGCTCTGGAAAAGGCAGAGCTGTGGCGACAGGAGAGCCCAGGGGTGGCGGGAGGGATGAGAGGCGGAGCACAGAGGGCTCCTGGGGCAGTGGCCCTACTCTGTGTGAGACTGTGGTGGGCACACAGGACCCTACGCCTTTGTCCAAACCCAGGCAAGGTGCAAGACCAAGAGCGACGCTCGTGTCAGCAGGGGGCTTCAGTCAGTCATCGTGAGCCACTCTTGGCTCATCGGCTGGAACCAATGTTCCCACTGAAGCAAGAGCTTAACAGCAGGGAAATCTGGGCGCGGGGAGAGGGCGTCTGTGGGGACGGTCTGTCTGCTCGGTTTTACTGTAAACCTAAAACTGGAGTCTATGGAAAAAACCCAGCTCTATTGGGGTGTAACTGACATAAAACCGACACAAAAGGACGGATACTGTATGACTGTGCTCACAGGAGGTCCCCAGAGGACTCACATCCACAGAGGCAGAAAGGAGAAGGAGGGGCCGGGGGCTGGGGGAGGGGAGGAGGGGGTTGGTGTTTCATGGGGACAGAGCTTCAGTTTGGGAAGATGAGAAAGTTCTGGAGACGGATGGTGGGGATGGCTGCACAGCAGTGTGAATGTGCTTAATGCCACTGCGCTGGACACTTAAAAATGGTTAAGATGGGGGCCGGCCCCATGGCCAAGTGGTTAAGGTCACGTGCTCTGCTTCGTCAGCCTCGGGTTCACCAGTTCGGATCCTGGGCACGGACCTGGCACCGCTCATCAGGCCATGCTGAGGCGGCGTCCCGCACAGAAGAGCTAGAATGACCTACAACTAGGATATACAACTACATATTGGGGCTTTTGGGGGAAAAAAAAAGGAAGATTGGCAACAGATGTTAGCTCAGGGCCAATCTTCCTCATACACACACAAAAAAAGCATTAAAAAATGGTTAAGATGGTAAATTTTGTTATATGTATTGTATTTTACCACAAATTTTTAAAAAAGCTTTGAGGGGGGAAAAACAGAAATCTTACAATAATTTGAAGAAACTATGGGAAAATCTCTTTCTGAACCCTGCGTGGGAAAAGCCTTTCTAACGATGGTTCTAAAGCTAGAAGATAAAATATTGATAAATTCATCTACATAAAAATAAACTGTGTCCAACATAAAAAACTACCTGGAAAAAATATTTACAGCTCCGGCCACAGGAAAGGCCTCACATATTCGTGTGAAGAGATCTCATCAAGAAGGCAAGAGTAACAGCCCCAGAGGGAAAGGGCCAAAGGATGTGGCCGGTCATTTCACAGAAAGTGAGTCTAAGCCAAACCCCAAAACACAGGTGACTGTCAAGCCTGTGAGGAAATGCCCGACCTCCCTGTAAAAGAAATGCAAGATGAAACTACAATGAGCCACCAGTTTTCAACCATCACGTTGGCCAAATCCAAAAGCCAATCTTAACCATTTTTAAGTGTCCCGTTCAGTGGCATTAAGCACATTCCCATTGTTGTGCAGCCATCCCCACCATCCATCTCCAGAACTTTCTCATCTTCCCAAACTGAAGCTCTGTCCCCATGAAACACCAACTCCCCCTCCCCCAGCCCCTGGCCCCCCATCCTCCTTCCTCTCTCTGTGGATGTGACTCCTCTGGGGACCTCCTGTGAGTGCGGTCACACAGTATCTGTCGTTTTGTGCCAGACTTATTTCACTGAGCATAATGTCCTTAAGGCTCGTGGTGCTGTAGCGTATCGCAGAATTTCCTTCCTCTTTAAGGCTGAATAGTATTCCATGGTCTGCATGGACCACACTGTATTCACCCATTCCTTTGCAGATGGACCCTTGGGCTGCTTCCGTCTTTGCTACCGTGAATAACGCTCTTATGAACGTTAGTATACAGGTACCTGCGTGCCTGCCTTCAGTTTTTGGTCACACACCCAAAAGCGGAATTGCCCGGTCGTGTGGTTCTTCCACACTTAATCTTCTGAGGACCCGCCCTGACTTTCCACAGCAGCCGCACCATTTTACATTGCCACCCACAGTGCACCGGGGCTGCAGCTTCTCCCCATCCTCGCCGACACTTGACGTTTCCCGGTGTGTGGATTACAGCCGCCCTAACGGATGTGAGCGCACACATCTTACAACCCAGCAACCCCACTGCGGGGGGCCGATCTTCACCCTCTTCCGAAACTAGCTTTTGTCAGGTCATCGCACGGCCTCGCCACCCCTGCCGGGGGCTGCCTCTCAGTCTCGCTCTCTTGTCAATGACCGTGGGATTCCATAGGGAGGATGGACCTGGCTTTATCTATTGTTTCCTCGTGGGCGTTTACACTGATTTCAAGTTTCAGGCGTTGCCACACTGCAACAGTGTACCCTTTATGTGGCTATTCCAAGAAACACAGTCTTCAAAACCTACTTGGAGAAAACCAGCGCTCACTCTTTAATTTGCTAAGCGCCACTAAAAGATCAGGGTCTGGCTATTTGCTCTCAAATCATGGTTGCATGAGGGCTCTTGCAAAGACACCTGGTCTCTGAAAACTCTTCTCCAAAGTAATAGAGCTTTGGTGCCTGGACCCAAGATCCTGCTTTAACGTATCCACTAAGAGGATGAAGGTAGTAGCATCAGGCTCATCTTTGACTCCAGCCTGTGGGTCCCCAGCGCCCCCGGGCTTGGGCAGCGCTGAGCAGCCAGGGGCCGACCTCCTCGGGGGGAACTGCGCGGCCGGCCAGTGACTTCGCTGTGTTCCCTAGAACTGCTCCCAGTTTGTCTGATGTTCTAGATTTTACTGTGCAAAACTTAAGCGACGCAAATCGTATAAAGACTAACGCAAGCAACACCCGTGTACCCACCACCCAGCTTTGCCAATATAGCTGGTCCCCAGCGTGCCCCGGCCCTGTGTCCTGCCCTGCACCCCCCAGGGACAGCGACTGTCCTGGTCTGGTGGGTAGCAGCCCTGGCTTGCCTTTGGGTCATTCCAAAGAATGGGTTTTGAATGGGTTTCAATTTTGTGTTTTGAATGCGAGGCTTTCTGACTTTATTGATCCTTTCAATAACATGATGTTCTCTCTAAAACAAACAGAACCCTGACTGCGGGAGTGAGTGAAATTTTAACGTGAAAGGGCTGGTTCCCTCCACATATTCTTCAAGGCTCCCCTGTAGACCGCTCGGGGTGACGACCTGGGGAGGACGTCGTCCTCTCCTCTCAGCTGTGTGTTGGCTTGTCCCTCTGATGTTGACAAGTCCATTCATCACTGTCGTCCGTGTGTTTGGTTGTGTTCTGTTTCTTTCCTTTGAACATTTGCTGTCTTTGGTGCTGTTTGAACATGCTTTTAACTTTGGATAAAGCCATTGTGCCACACGCAGTAACTTCCGCTTGCCTTTATTTGGGCCCGTGTCCTGTCGGGTCAGGTGCAGAGGCATGCGGACCGGGTTCACTTGTCCTCACTGCCAGACAGCGCCTGCTGCTCTCAAGGTTTGTGGCCCCTGCAAATGCGTGTGGTGGAGTGCTCGCCCCCAAAGGTGATGGGGAGGCCTTTGGGAGGTGACGAGGTCATGAGGGTGGGGCCCTCAGGAATGGGATTAGTGTCCCTATAAAGGACCCCCCAGAGAGCTGCCTTGTCCCCCACCATGTGGGGACACAGTGAGAAATCTACAACCAGGAGAGGGCCCTCATCAACTGTGCTGGCCCTCTGAGCTCAGACTCCCGGCCTCCGGAACGGTGAGAAATCAAATTCTCTTGTTTATCCATCCCCGGACTGTGGTGTCTTATTAGAGCAGCCCAGACGGACTGACAGCACCCAGTGTCTGGATGCACTGCCCGCTATCTAGCCTCAGCTTACGGACACTTCAGCACTTGCTCTGGACAGTGCTGTATCCGGGCACACCCGGGGCTTCTCCAGAGACGCGTGCGCATGCTCCCAGCAGCTGAAGATGCACGCGCCAGAGCTGCCCGTCCACCCTGTGTGCACGGTCCCCAGGCAGCTGCACCGGCTTACACTCCCCTGGCTGTGAGAGCTCCTGGTTCTCCACCACCCGCCCCGCACTGGGGATTGTCAGATTTTTACTGGTTGCCAATCTGATGACCATGCGGTGGCATTTTTGTCGGGAGCCCCGGGCTAGTTTTCCAAGCTGACCCAAGTTGGCCTGGTGCTCAGGGGAAACTGACTGAAGAGTCAGGACAGGGCGGCCCCCGGCCTCCGCGTCACCAGTTCCATTGTTTCATCTGGGGCCACCAGAGGCTGGGAACTGAGGCCTCTCCCTCCATCAAGAACTCGAGGATCCATCACTGAACCAGCTGTTGGAAACCAACTGATTGTCTCTTAGCGTTTCTCGTGACATCCTATCCAGCGACAGCCTATTGCTGGGGGCCTACCTACCAGCTTACTTGTGTAGATTTTGTTCCGTTGATTTCCTGCCTTTAGTTTTATTAAACAAATATATTTTGAAAAGGCTCTGGTCAAAGTCTGGAAGAACATGTTAATGGGGGGATGGGATTATGGGGCCTAATTTCTTTCACTAATTTCTGTATTATTTTGATTTTAGGCAGCAAGCATATTGCTTTGGGGAAAAAGGAGAGTTAAAAAAAAAACTTAATGGAAGAGGATAGCAAGGAAATGTCCTACACGAGCGTTCACAGCAGCACCGTGCCCAACAGCCCAGAGCGGGAAACGAGCCAGATGCCTGTCCGTGGACACATGGGTAAACCCGCTGAGGCACATCTGGACCATGGAATATTCTTCAGCTGTAAAAGGAAGGAAGTTCTGAGACACGCTACCACATGCACGACCCTTGAAGACATTATGCTAAGTGAGAGAAGTCAGACACGAAAAGCCACATATTGTAGGCTTCCATTCATGCGAAATGTCCAGAATCAGAAAATTCACCGAGACAGATAGCAGACTGGGGGCCGATGGGGCTGGATGGACGGGGAGCAGAGTGCCTGCTTAAGGGGCCGGGCTTTATTTTGGGGTGATAAACACGTTTTGGAAGTAGACAGAGGCGGTGGTCACACGGTGTGAATTCTAATTACCACTGGATCCATCGCCCTGTGGTTAATTGGATGTTATGTGAATGTGACTGCAATAAAAATAAACAAAAAAGGACGACTTGCAGCCTCACCAGCGCCGACCACCCGAGTATTTTTCCTTATTCAAAGCGAGTCGCATAAGGGAAAAGGGGAGGGGCGGCGGGGGACGCCTGGGACAGCTCTGCCAAAGGCAGCAGCTCCAGGAATGCTTGGCGGGCCCTCCTTGGCGGCCTAAGACGTCTGCAGTGCCCCTGAGAGTGTCGGTTCCAGCTGACCCCAGGACACGTCCCGGCTGCGTGCCCCTGATCGGGTCTCCCCTGGCCCGGAGGTGGCTGTCCCCACAGGTCCCGTTGGTAATGATGAATGGCTGTTCGGAAGAGCCGTTCTGGTCTGCCACCAGCCGGGGAAGGGACACGGCACCCTTGCAGCCACCCTTGGGGAAATCTCAACAGGGCCAGTTGGGGACTCCTCCCGTGGATGGCGGCGAGTTCTCCAGAAGCTCCACGTGCTGGGTCTCGCTGAGTCAGCGGCAGCATGTGTGGGACGCCCGGGTCTCACCGGTTCCGAGTAAGATGGCAGCACAAAGGCACCGGGCTGCATGTCAGGGCCCCTGATGCCATGACTGATTCACGCATCGATCAGCTGACAAACCTCTTAGAAGAAAGCTGACAGGAAACCTAACGGGACGGACAGTGGGACAACCAGACATGGTATTTGTCCCGACGTGACGCAATCGGAGGCAACGGCACCCACTAGGCAGGAACGTGCTGGAGCAGTTGAACACGATCCGAATCAAGACTCTGGAGTAGTGGTGCTCAGACTGGAATGTATATGGGCAACACCTGGCGACATCTGAAACCTGTGGTTGCCTGGGACCCAGCCGGCGACATGGACTTCACGGCCTGGAGAGTTCAGGTCCCCAGGCGGCCCCGATGTGCATTCTGAGCTGAGACCTGATAGAGGGACCACGGGGCTAGAGGGACAAGTTGCATGTCACGAGCTGCCAAATCCAGTGTGCACATCTCAAGGCGACCGCACCCATTTCTGCAACAGGTCAAAGGTACGTGTGCGGGGACCGTCTCTAGATGAAAAGGGACTTAAACGACACAACCACCAAATACAATGTGGGGACCTCGTGTGGATCTGGATTAAAACAAAGCAAAGTGTAAAAAGACGTTTTTGAGACTATCGGAGAAATGTGATCATGGACTGGTATCAAATGACACTGAAGAATTATTGTGAATTTCGTTAGGTGTGACAATCACGTTGTCATTACGTTAAAAAATGATACTGAAATCATAGGGGTGAGAGGACATGATGTTGGGGATTTGCTTTAAAATGCTTCAGCAGGGGCTGACTCAGTGGCACAGAGGTTAAGTTCATGTGTTCCACTTCAGCGGCCCAGGGTTTCGCTGGTTCAGATCCCAGGTGCGGACGTGGCACCGCTCGTCAGGCCACGCTGTGGTTGCGTCCCACATAAAACAGAGGAAGACTGGCACCAGATGTTAGCTCTGGGCCAATCTTCCTCTCAAAGATAAACAAAAAATAAAAATACCTCAGCAAAGAAAGGAAAAACTGAGACAACTGACACCAATGTGGCACACTCTTAATTGTTGAATTGGGTGATGAGTTATGGGAGGTCAGACATCCTTGTGTATGTTTGAAACTTGTCATACAAAAGAGTGTCAGAACGCTGTGAGCTGTCCCCAGACCTTACAGTCCTACGGGTTCGGCCTCTTCTTTCAAGTGTCTCCCAAATAAGTACCTGTCACATGACCAAACCTGGAGGATGGCGATGGGCTGAGAGTCAGCAAAACGCCAGAGCCTGTCGAGGCCCCTCCACCTGTGGCCGTGAGCATCACCTGCAGAAGCGCTTGTGGCATCAGCAGGGATCATGGCCGGGGCCAGGGCAGGCGGCGAGGTGAGGCCTGATGCAGACTTTCAGGAGGCCCCTCTCAGGGCAGCCCCTGCCCTGCCTGGCCCTGGGAGCGAGGGTCTCCTTAAGTCCCAGCCCTGGGCACTTGCCGCCATCCCCTGGTGCAGGGCCTAGCGCGCTAGGCGCCTCAGGACCACTCCCAGACAGTAGGGAGCTGGGCCAGCGCCCAGGCCAGCCAGGCGTCCGGGAAGCAGCAGGGGACATCTCAGGGGACAGGCCACCTCTGCGGACGGCAGGTGCAGGCCCACAGATGCATGTGGCCCCTCCCTCGCTGCCAGGACCGCGCTCCTCCCGCTGCCCAGCGCACAGTGGGCCTGAAGCCTCTGCCCGCCTCGAGGGGCACAGCAGCCAGCCCGGAGTGCCCACCGGGGCCCACGCCTGGAAAGCTGAACCGATCCAAGCAACTAAAGAGAAAGTTTAAAGAAAGAGAGGCCTGAAAACGTTCGTATTCAATCCAAGTGTCTTTTGGCTCCAGGAGATGGGCACGCTCTGCTCCATGGCTTTTCTCCTCCACGTCCTGAGCACTCCCCCTGGGCGGCCCTGGTCCCCGCAGTTCCCGCGGCCGGGTTGCCCATCTTGCAGAGCACAGCCCGTGGGGCGTGCATTCTGGGCTGGCGTCTCCGCACACCGCGGACCGTGATGCCCACTGGGTCCCACGTGCTCATATGTGCTTCCAGATTGTTCTTACAACTCGAGCGGAATCATCGCCATTTACAGAAAAGGAGCTTGGGGCGCGGAGAAGCTGCTTCACCTGTAAGTGTGAAAGGTGAGATTCAAACATTTTCAGAAAATACACAATACAGTATTATTAACTACAGTCACTATCCTGTACGTTACACCCTCAGGACTGACTTATCCTCTAACTGGAAGTTTCTACCTTTTGACCCCCTTCACCCATTTCGCCCACCCCCGAGCCCAGTAGTCTGGCAACTACTAATCTGCTCTCTGTCCCTGACCTTGTTTTTCTTTCTTTAGATTCCACATGTGAAATCTTTTGATATCTGTCTTTCTCTGTCTGACTTATTTCACTTAGCGTAATGTCCTTAAGGTCCATCCATTGTCACAAAGGCAAGCTTTTGTTCATTTTTATGGCTGAATGATATTCTGTTGTCTATGTAGACCACATTCTCTTTAAACATTCCTCAGTCGCTGGAGCCTTAGGTTGTTTTCGTGCTTCATATGTATAGTAAATAATGCTGCAAGGAACATGGGGGGCATGTAGCTTTTAGAGTTAGTGGTTTTGTTTTCTTCAGATAAGTATCCACAAGTGGAATTGCTGGATCATATGGTACTTCTTTTTTTTATTTTTTTAGGAACCTCCGTACTGCTTTCCAGAGTGGCTGCCCCAATTTACACCCACCAGCGGTGTATGAGAGTTCCCTTCTCTCCACATCCTCACCAACACTGACTTCTTGTCTTTTTTTTTTATTATTAATGTTATGATAGATTACAACCTTGTGAGATTTCAGTTGTACATTATTGTTAGTCATGTTGTGGGTACACTGACTTCTTGTCTTTTTGACAACAGCCATCCTAACAGTTGCGTGAGCTGAGATCTCACTGTGGCTTTGATTTGCATGTCCCTGATAAGTGATGTCGAGCACCTTTTCATATACCTGTTGGCCATTTTGTATGTCTTTTTGGGAAAAATGTCTATTCAGAGCCTCTGCCTTTTTTTTTTTTTTTTTTTTGCTATTGGGTTGTATGAATTCTTCATATATTTTGGATATTAACTCCTTAACAGATATGATTTGGAAATATTTTCTCCCATTCTATAGGTTGCTTTCTCATTTTGTTGGTTTCCTTTGCTCTGCAGACGCTTTTTAGTTTGATCTAGTCCCACTTGTTGATTTTTCCTTTGTTGTCTCTGCTTTTGGTGTCAAATCTAAAAAATCATCACCAAGATCAGTGTCAAGGAGCTTACTACGTGTTTTCTTCTAGGAGTTTTATGGTTTCAATTCTTTTTTTTTTTTTTTTTGAGGAAGATTAGCCCTGAGTTAACATCTAGCCAATCCTCCTCTTTTTACTGAGGAAGACTCGCCCTGAGCTCACATCCGTGCCCCTCTTCCTCTACTTTATATGTGGGACGCCTGCCACAGCATGGCTTGCCAAGCTGTGCCATGTCCACACCCGGGATCTGAAACGGCAAACCCTGGGCCGCCGAAGCGGAACGTGCGGACTTAACTGCTGCACCACCGGGCCAGCCCCAATATGGTTTCAATTCTTACATTCAAGTCTTTAATCCATTTTGAGTTAGTTTTTGTGTACGGTGTAAGATAGTGGTCTCATTTCATTCTTTTGCATGTGGATGTCCAGCTTTTCCAACACCATTTATTAAAGAAACTTTCCTTTCTCCATTGTATGTTCTTGGCTCCTCTGTCGTAAATGGACCATATAAACGTGGGTTTATTTCTGGGCTCTCGATTCTGTTCCATTGATCTGTGTGTCTGGTTTTGTGCCAGTACCATGCTGTTGTGATGACTATAGCTTTGTAGTATATTTTGAAATCAGGGCGTGATGCCTCCAGCTTTGTTTTCTCAGGATTGCTTTGGCTATTCATGGCCTTTTGTGGTTTCGTACAAACTTTAGGATTGTTTGTCCTATTACTGTGAAAAATGCCATTGAAACTTGATAGGGATTGTATTGAATCTATAGATTGCTTTGGGTAGTATGGACATTTTCATAGTATTCTTCCCATCCACGAGCACGGAGTATCTTTCCATTTAGCTCTGTCTTCGATTTCTTTCCTCAATGTCTTAATAGTTTTCAGTGTCCAGGTCTTTCAGCTCCTTGCTTACATTTATTCCTAGGTATTCTTTTTGATGTAGTTGTAAATGGGACTTTTTCAATTTCTGACAGCTCGTTATTAGCGTATGGAACACAACAGCCTTTTATATACTGATTTTGGATCCTGCAACTTTACCGAATGTTTTAGTTCTAAGTTTTTGGTGGGGTCTTTAGGGTCTCCCATATATATCACGCCACCTGCAAAAAGTCAGTGTGTTACTTCTTCCTTTCTGACCTGGATGACTTTTATTTCTCTTTCTTGCCTAACTGCCCTAGCCCAGCTCAGTCACAAAGCCGCTCAGTGTGACAGCTGAGATTCAGACCCTACGTGAAGGCACAGTTCTTCCTGCCCAGACCCGGCCCCTACGGCAACGGAGGCAGTCTGTCCACTCTGCTGTCTCCGGCACTGGGCAGGGCTGGGAGCAGGGGCCTCTTCCCCTGGGTTGGCCAAAGGATGGGGAGCCAACCCCAGACTGCTACCTCCTCCCCAGCAGGACAGACCAGCTCCCACCCACCCACACTGGGCATGTGCAGTCCTCATGTAACTCCTCCAACATCTGCTGATGCTGTGGGGTGTCTGCAGCTCAGAAATGAACAAGGAGACCTGGACCCGACCTTTGGGAGCCGTCTATGTCCCAACACTGCGGGCCCATCTGACAGCTTTTGTTTGTGCCTTACACCAAACTCAGGAGACCAGAGCTACTAGAGAGGGGAGCAAAAATATAGCAGGATTCTGAAGGGAAAGGCTGACCCTCCAACCAAACATAAAGCCACGTGGGCTTCAGGCCTATCCTACGCCCCATGATTCCCATGAACACACTGAGAGCTGTTTAGTTTTTTGCCAACCACCGTTCTGAGCTTCACAGCCACAGGGAGGCTGCACGGACACACCCTGGCTGAAAGGCAGGAGGGGCCCTGAATAACGGACTCCAGCAGTGAAGGTGTGCAGTCCTCTTTCCATGCTTCTGATCGCAGCAAGGAACAAGTCTCACGCTGATGCCAGTGTGTCTCACTCCTTCCCTTGCAGTTGGTTAATCTGTCTCTCTTGAACAAAGATGTCAGGATTTAGGTCCAGAGCCTTTGGCAGGTAACGGTATAGGATTACAATTCAGTATCATTTGGCTGTTTTCATTGCATTTTTTTTTTTCTGGCGAGGAAGATTGGCCCTGAGCTAACATCTGTTGCCAATCTCCCTCTTTTTCCTTGAGGAAGACTGTCACTGATCTAACATCTGTGCCAATCTTCCTCTATTTTATATGGGACGTTGCTACAGCGTGGCCTGATCAGTGGTGCTAGGTCCATGCCTGGGATACGAACCTGTGAACCTTGGGCACCTGAAGCAGAGTGCACGAACTTAACTACTATGCCACCGGGCTGGCCCCTGCATTTCTTTTTTATATTCACTTATTTCTGTATTCAATTTTATGTATGGCTACCGATAACAGCATTTAATAATTTGTGGCAGGATGTTGTTAGGATCAAAGATAGTGCCACGAGTCTGAGGAATAAGTCACAGGGCTGGGAGTTAGTTTGAATCATGGCCCTGCCACAGCCTTGGAAAAATAAGGGACTTTTTGAACCTCACATTTTCCTTTGTAAAATGCAGATCTTAACTTATAAGATGCTCCCTTCCCCCAAAGGTAATGCTATGAAAATTACCATGTGTCCAATATACCCATAGTATGAATGAACAGTCCAGACACCAAAAGTTAATAGCAAAACGCATGAACACAAGCATCACAACAAAGATGGCTGTTTCACCTCCTGGTTTTATTAAGTACCCACGGGCCACCTAGGTGACAGAGATATTTCATTCCTGCAATATTTTAGTTTCAAAACTATGATTACCATAACCTAGCTATGTATGCTAACATTCCCTTACAGAGGATTCCGTTTTCAGGGTTAAATGTAACATAACCAGAATCTATGATTCCATATAGAGTTCCACATCAGAAAATGCTTTATTCCTCCAAGTCACTTTAACATCACCCTCAATACACACATGGTAAAAGCAGGCATTTTCTTTTTTTGCAAAAAGTTTCCCTTTGAAACCCACGTAGTCATACCAATGTCCATCTCTTGGTTTGGTATTGCTTATGTAACACGGTTCCATTTCGGGGAAGCCAGCGGAAGGGTACCCAGAATGTCTGTATTATTTCCCCAGTTTCCTCCGAGACTATAATCATTTCAAAATAAAAAGTTAAAAAAAACCCAAACATGTTACTCATAGGAATAAATAAACATTTCAGCTCCAATTTTAAACGGAAATCGGAAAGGTCTTAGGAGAGCTTGGGAGTCCCCCCACAAATAGGACACCTCAGTCGGGGGGACTGTGCGGCCAAGCAGTGACAAAAAGGCTCAGTTATGAATAAGGCTCATTACTGACTCCGGCAGTGGAAAACACACGGCCACGCCACTCCGCTCCGCCCAAGTCCTCGACCCAGACGGCTCTGGACCGGCTTCAGGGAACAAGGAACAAGGGGAGAGCGAGAAAGGCCCCTAATTTGGGGAACCCAGCGAGACCACACTCCGCACGTAGCTGATCTCCGTCGCTGCCTTCGAGGCGCCCTCCCACCAACTGCCCCATCCCGGGGTCTCCCCCGGGGTCTCATCTCGCGCCCTCCGGCGGCAGCAGAGAGTCGGCCTGGCTCAGGGCGAGCTGCTCCCGCTTCTCCTTCTGCAGGACCTGCTCCTCCCACAGCGCCTGGTCCACCTGATCGTCCGTGAGCACCACCGGCCTGTACTTCTCGTCGAAGAGCCGCTCGTTGGCCTCGGAGCGCAGCTGCTGGGGCCCGATGACGCGCAGGTGCGCCGGCAGGTGGAGGAACTCGTCGTCGTTGATGTCGCAGTCGCGCATGCGGGCCCCGAGCACCCACCAGCGGCCCGCGAAGCCCACGTCCAGCACCCGGGCGGGGAAGTCGGCCCAGCGGGGCTGCAGGTAGCGGCAGCGAGCCTGGTAGAGGCTGGTCTGGGCGTCGAAGGGCGCCTCGTAGACCAGCGAGCAGAGGCCCAGGCTGGCGTGGCGCAGGCGCCCGCGGCCCCGCAGCCAGAGCAGCCGCTGCACGTGCGCCTCCGAGGCGCGGTTGCGCGTGGCCGGCGCCAGGAGCAGCAGTGTCCCCGACGCGTCGAGCAGCGCCTCCTCAAAGGCCGCCTCGCCCGGCGCCAGCGCGCAGCAGGCCGCCGCGCCGCCCAGCAGCCCTGCGTACGCGGCCGCGCGCACCGGCCGGGCCCGGGCCGCCGCCGCCGCGTCCCCGCAGGCCTCGGCGTAGTCCCGGAGCAGCGCGCGCGCCCAGGCGCCTGCGGGAGAGACGCGCCGTGAGAGCCGCCCACCGCCGCAGCCCCCGCCCCGCCCCGCCCCGCCCCGCCCCGCCGCCGCCTGCCGCTACTCACCCAACCGCGCCCACACACCCGGCTTCGCGGCCTCAGTGCCGCCCGCCTCCCCGCGGCCTCGGGACCACAACCTCTTCAGAGCGGCCGTCGCCATCCTCTTCCGGCTTGGCGTCCGTGTTCCGCAGAGAAACGCCAGGGAGGCGAAGGAAAAGGCCCGGGGAGTCTCTCCTGCGCAAGCGCCGACATTGCCGGAAGTGGCTTCCCGCCGGAAGAGGATAGGAAACGGACCGACGCCGGATGTTGCTGTCCGGTCCGAGAGCTGACGACTGCTGCGGGCAGGCGGGCCGCGCAGGCGCAGAGAGCCGGGGCCGCGCCGGCTGGAGCCGCCGCAGGTGAGCGGGGCGGGGTGCACCTGCGGGGCGGCGGCGCGAGTGCGAGGCCCGGTGGGCGCAGTTAGCCGCCAGGCCGGGCGGGCCGAGGGAGACACTCCAGGAGGGGCGCCGGGCGGGGCGGGGGGCGGACCTGATTGACCTCTGTCCTCAGAGCGGGATGCGGTGACGCCCCCGAGCGACCATGGCAGCTGCGGACGAGCTGGCCTTCCACGGTGAGTGCGGCCGCGAGCCGGCCCGAGCCCCGACCCCGGCCGCTGGCCACACCCTCCCATCCAGGGCCCACCTCGGATCTAAGCCGGACCCCAGGCCGCTGTGAACCCGACCCAGGCAGGAAACCCATCCCCAAGGCGACCCCCGCTCCAGTCCCGAGCTCCCATCTCTAACCCGAGCCCAGATCTGATCTCTCCCAGAACTAGCCCTGAGTTGCCGTTCCCTGATAGGAGGGAGGGGACACACCTTCCCGCTCCCCAAAATTGAGAAGCCACGCCCCCAGAGGCGCTGTGGGCCAAATTGTCTTGACCCCCCAAACATACCTGTGTCCCGTTACTTCTCCATAGAGTTTGAGGAAGCCACCAATCTGCTGGCCGAGACTCCAGAGGCAGCCACCACCAGCAGAAGTGAGCAGCTGACTCCGCAGGGACACGTGGCTGTGGCCGTGGGCTCAGGGGACAGCTATGGAGCTGAGGACGAAGTGGAGGAGAGTGACAAGACCGCGGTGAGTCACGGAAGCCCCTGTGTCCTGCCTCCGTGCAGCCCCCGGCTGAGCCCGGCCGGCGGGCGGGCACTGAGAGCCGGCGCTGTGCAGCTCCTGCAGGAGGAGAAGCAGCAGCCCGGCTTCTGGACCTTCGGCTACTATCAGAGCTTCTTTGACGTGGACACCTGGCAGGTCAGGCCCGGGAAGCTGGCGGATGGGGCTCCGAGTCCTGCTTGGGGTTCAGCCACTGTTCACTGATCACCAGGCCCTGGACAGGGTGCTGGCGATACCCGACGGAGAAGAGTTGCTGCCCAGGCTGGTAGAAGGAACTGGTGCGCTGTGAGGATTATGGTGTGACTGGGGCTGTTGGGAACATGGGGGACACATGTGATCTGCGGGGATAGAGAAAGGCCTCCTGGAGGAGGTGAGGAATTTGCTGAGACCTAAAAAAGGAAGACTTAGCCGGGCAGAGTGGAGGGAAGCATGAGTATGTTCCGGGCACAGGGAACAGCATGAGAGAAGATGATGAGAGAAGGTGTGAACTGTCGCAGGAGCGATCTGTCACTCGATCTGGTTGGAGGTGTGGTGGGGGGGGGAGACCGGCAGGCAGAAGCCAGGTCAGAAGGGGCCTTGTGAGCAATGGGAAGGAGTTTGGGTTTTATCCTGAGCGTGCCAGGGAGTCATGGAAGGGTTTAGAGTGGGCGAGGACTGAGTGGAATGAGCAGACGTGCATCGTGGAGCGTCGAAGGTGGGTCGGAGGCCCCAGGCTGAGGTGGGAGATGATAAACCAGGGCTGTGGAGCAGGGACATGTTGGAGAGAGGTGTAGGGAGGGGATGCCCAGGACCTGTGACTGTCCTGGGGCTGGGAGGGGAGGCAGTAAGGACAGTCTTGGGCCGCCGAGCCAAGAGGAGGGGGAAGCGAAGAGGAAGGTGGCAGGACCGGAAGACTCCTTCGGGGTGGGACACTGGGGTAGTGAGTGGGGACTAGCCAGAGGGAGGGGCTCCAAGCCATGGGAACAGCTCATCAAAAACCCAGAATGGGGCCAGCCCTGGTGGCCTAGTGGTTAAGTTTGGCACACTCCACTACGGCAGCCTGGGTTTGGTTCCTGGGCGCAGACCTACACCACTCATCTGTCAGACGTTGTGCTGTGGCAGCAGCTCCCGTACAAAAAAAAAGAGGAAGATTGGCAATAGATGTTAGCTCAGGCAAATCTTCCTCAGCAAAGGAAAAAAACGGGAAGAGCTGAGACCTTTCAGGCAGTGTGGAGAGAGGCGGTGGGAAGTCAGCAGAGAAGGAGCCTTTAAGGTCCTCCCAGGAGCATGGCCCCTTTCCTCTGTGGGCGGCGAGGAGCCCTGGGTAGGCTTCCATCCTGGCCCGACCTTGCCCCCCAGGTCCTGGACCGGATCAGAGGCTCGCTGCTGCCCCGGCCTGGCCACAACTTTGTACGGCACCGTCTGCGGAATCGGCCGGACCTGTATGGTGAGTGAGGTTGCGCATTCAGCTCATTCGATTATTCAGTCAGCAAACGTGGACCGAGTGCTAGGCCCAGATTTCCAGCTGAGGCGAAAGCAGAGATGCTCACGGAGGCTGTAGAACTTCCATCATGTTCAGTGACATCGAGACACACGCGGTGGCAGAGGGCGACAGGGCCGGGAAGAGAGGCTAACAGTTCTGAGGAAGAGAGTTGCCGTTTTGCGTGGCTGGTGGGGGAAGGCCCCTCTCAGGAGGGTGAGGGAGTGACCCTTGCTGGTGTTGGGGTGGAAATGCAACTGAACTGCAGGACAGCACTGCCCCTGGGGCAGAGCGAGCTGCTGGGAGGTGGCAGAGGTGACAGGACAGTGGCGCAGGCTGTGGTGAGCATGGAGAGTGCTCTCAGGGCCCTCTGGCTACTGTGGGGGTGAGTGTGGCAGCAGGGGCCCCAGGAGGGGCAACGCTGTGTGCAGGGCGCCCCGGGGAGGCCGCAGACGACGAGCAGGTCTGGAAGTTTCCGTTAGCAGGACTGGCTCATGAGCAGTGGCCGGTGGGAGGAGAGGTGCCGAGGGTGGCCCCCAGGTTCTTTGCCTGGACTGCTGGCAGGAGAGAGCTGCATTTATGATGGGAAAAACTGGGCAGGTTTGCGGGGAGAGGGCGCCTGGGGGGTGGCGTGGGAGACGCCCCCATGGAAACGCTGACTGCGAGCCTGCGGTTCAGGGCAGAGGCCCGGCCTCGGGGTTTGGCGTCCTTGGCACAGAGGCGGCACGAAGCCCTGATGCTGCACGAGATCACCCAAGGGGGGACAAGGCAGGAGGAGGGCGGAGGGCTGCCCTGGGTGGTTCCCCGTCACAAGAGGGGCCGGGGAGTGGAAGGGGTCCAGGACCTGCCAGTGAGATGAGACAGAAACCAGGTGGAGAGGTTTCCAGAAGGAGAGGGATCATCCAGCCACATCAAAGGCTGTAGAAAGGCCGAGAAAGATGAGGACTGCTGAACACCAGCACTGGATTCAGCCACCACGTCGTCGCTGGGATCTGGGCAAGCGTCGGGGTGATAGACGGTGCAGGAGGCAGCCTGAAGCTCGGGAAGAGGCTGGGGTTCCAGCACGGTTGACGTGGGACAAGTCTGCTGTCTGCGGAGCCCGGGGCCCCTGACCACACCCTCCCGCAGGCCCCTTCTGGATCTGTGCCACGCTGGCCTTTGTCCTGGCCATCACGGGCAACCTGACGCTGCTGCTGGCCCAGAGGAGGGATCCCTCCATCCACTACAGCCCCCAGTTCCATAAGGGTGAGTACCGCGGGCCGGGCACAGCCCCTGGCGGGGTCAGAGCTGCGGGCCCGGGGCTGACGGCCCGCCTCCGCCCGCAGTGACCGTGGCGGGTGTCACCATCTATTGCTACGCCTGGCTCGTGCCGCTGGCGCTGTGGGGCTTCCTGCGGTGGCGCCAGGGCGTCCGGGAGCGCCTGGGGCCCTACACCTTCCTGGAGACCGTGTGCGTCTACGGCTACTCCCTCTTCGTCTTCATCCCCACCGTGGTGAGTGGGCCCGGGGTCGGGGGCTGGGTGCCCTCGGGAGCACCTGGGAGCCAGCTGCGTGTCACCCCCAGGTCCTGTGGCTCATCCCTGTCCCGTGGCTGCAGTGGCTCTTCGGGGTGCTGGCTCTGGCCCTGTCAGCCGCCGGCCTGGTGTTCACCCTCTGGCCTGTCGTCCGCGAGGACACCCGGCTGGCGGCGGCCGTGCTGCTGTCTGTCGTCGTGCTGCTCCACGCCCTCCTGGCCCTGGGGTGTAAGGTGCGGTCCGGGCTGCTCTCGGCCAGGCCTTGGGGTGGCGGGTGGCTCAGTGGTCCCGACGCTGACTCCCGGGGTCTCGGTTCAGTTTTACTTCTTCCAGCCGCTGCCTCCGGCGCACGTGGCACCTCCACCCCGGGCCACGGCTCTGCCCCCAAGCATACTGCTGCCACCCACCTCGCCATGGTCCGTGGCTACCCCGGATGGCTGGAGCCTGCAGGTGAGGGGCTGTTCCCAGCGGGGGCTGGGGGCTGCCGGTCTCCCTGAGGGGCCACTCCAGGAGTCCCTCTCTTCCAGGCCCAGCACGAAAGGACGCTTCTGCCTGCCCTACCCACCCTCAGACCATGAATGAAGGCCCCCTTGACACCTCGAGATGACTCCGCTCCTTTCCAGACTTTTCTTACAAAGCAAACACTTTTATTTTCTATGCAAAGGTGATTCAGAGAATTGATATAAAGGCGGGAGGGGGGCAGCCAAGCAGGGAGCGTCCAGGGCACTGTCACCCGAGGGCCACCTGCTTCCCCTGACAGGCAGGGCAGCTCCTCTGGGGCGCCAAGTGACCAGGGCCTGGGGACTCACCTGAGCGCCACCACACGGAGTTGGGGGTGTTAGAAACGGGGCAGGAGAAGAAAATGGCCTGTGCTGAAACATACATTTCCTTTTTATTTCTTTTGGAGGGACAGGTCCCTGCCAGGCCCCTTCCCAGGCTGGGGGGGCCCAAATGCCATCTTAGTAGTGGGGACTGGAGCGTCTAGGAAGGTTGAGGGAGACACACAGGCCTGACATTAGCTACAGGAAAGAGGACGCCTTCCACAACAGGTCCATGAGGTTTCTGTGTCTGCCCCGGGCCGCCACGGTGGCCCTGCCCGCCAGGCCCGGGGCCGCCTGCTCTCGCTCTTGGCGGGGTGGGGGTAGGGGTGGAGGGTAGACCTGCAGGGGCTCAGGGACAGGACAGCAGCAAGAGGCGGGGCCTAGGACGGAGGGCCTTCCCGACTGCCGGGCTGGGTTGTACATTCAAGTGTGAGGTGAACCCTTGGGGGAGGGGGCCCGGCCTGCAGACCCGGCAGGGCCGCCACCCCCAGAAAGCCCGCCCCCGACGGAGCCTCTGGGTCAGGAGGGGCTGCTGGCTCGGCCCGGCCGGCCTGCTTTCTCAGAGGGGCTGTGGATTGACACTGGTTCTTTTCGTAAAAAAATAAAATTAAAAAAAGCAGCACGTCACGCCCATGGTGACCAAGGCCTGGGAGTGGAAAGGGAGGCCCCGCCCAGCCAGGATGGCCCTCCCACAGGGGACGAGCCAGGGCAGGCGCCCAGGGGCCAGGCGGGGTGACAGCTGTTCCCCCACCGCCACCGGCAGCTGTCAGGCCCAGATGCGGCAGATGTCAAACCCAGGTCAGGGTGGAGAGGGCAGGAGGGGGCCGAGGGCTCCCACGACATGATCTCGTGTAAAACATGGCAGCGACACGCACTCAGGGCCAAGAGGTGGGTGGGCAGTGGGGTGGGGGCAGCGGCGACAACGACATCGTGTAAAAAAGTGTCCGAGTTCCCATAGCAAAGAGGGCTGGGGCCGGGGGTGGGGCTCCTCCAGGACGGGCGCGCCGCCGCGGGGGCGGCTGGCTTCATTTGGTTTCCTGGTGCTGGCAGTCCGTCTGTCCCGCGCAGGTCTAGCTCCCGTAGTGCATGGTGTTGGTCGGGATGGACATGGGTGAGGCCATGGAGATGGCGGGGCCACCCATGGTGAACTGGCTGTTGACCGCGTAGTGGGCGCTGGAGCCGCCGCCGCCGCCGCCCTGGGCGCCCGACGAGCCTGTGGGGCGGCCGTGGGCACTGAGCGGCCGCTCTGCCCTCCCCGCCTGGACGCGCCGCAGAGAGAGAGAGCGAGCGAGCGAGCAGGCGAGAGGGCGGCGGCCCGGCTCCCCCGCCCGCGTTACCTTGGACAATCCCCGTGCTCATTATGGAGCCCATCCGCGAGTGCGTGTGATTGACAATCCCCGTGTTGGCTGCGCAGCGAGAGGGAGAAGGAAGGAGGGAGACAGGTCACCCGCCCGGCCTGCCCCAGCCCCGCTGCACGGTGGGCACCCCAGGCCGGGGTGCAGCGGCGGCAGAGCGAGGCAGAGAGCAAGGGACAGGGGCCTGAGCCGGGAGCCCCAGGAAGAGGAAGAGAGGACACCAGCGACCGTATGCAGACCCAGCCCCGCCGCCCCCAGCCCCGGGACACTCACCCAGAGGAATCAGGTTGTTGTGGCCCACGCTGGAGCCGCCGGCGATAACACTGCTCAGGTCGTAGGCGGTCGGCATCCCTGTACCCGGAGAGGGAGGTGTCAGGGGTGGGGACAGTGGCGCACTGGCAGGGGTGACCCAGACATGGCCCGCGGTCTGCCCGCCCGCTCACCGGCCACGGCCATCCCGCTGCTCAGGTTATAGGTGCTGCCCGTGTTCCACATGTTCTCCGACGGCGACGTGTAGTGGGAGCCGGGTGGGGGCGAGGGCGTCGTCCCTGTGTATCTGCGGCAGAGACGGACCGTGGGTAGGGCCGGCTGCGCCGGAAGGGCGCCCCCCGAGCAGGCGCGCCCCGCCTACCTGAAGAAGGGGTTCTTCAGGTCCAGGAGGTTGCTGGATTTGGAGCCCGTCTGGTCCACCTGGGCCACAATACTGATGTCGTAGCTCTGTCTGCGGACGGGGCAGGGGAGGCGACCGCGAGTCAGCTGGCTGGACGGCCCCCGCCTCCCCCGGCCCCGGCGGCAGCACGCACCTTTTGTTGGCAATAAGCAGACATGTCCCTGAGAGCGTGTCCCCAGCCTTGGCGAAGAGTGGCGACTGGAACAGGCACCGGACCTGGTACCAGTGGGTCAGTGGCTCCGTCGGGGCCGTGGACAGCCACACGGTCATTCTGCCAAGCAATGACAGGCAGATGCTTGATGGGGCCGGAGCCACCACCCTGTGCACCTTGAGCTCTCTCCAGGTGCCTGCCCCCTCTGGCCGGTCCCCTGGGGCCCTGGAGCTGAGTCAGGCTGGCCGCCAGGCTGTCCCAGACACACGGCCGCATGCATGCCGCCCTCCCCGCCCCCCAACACCCTCCCCAACAGTCTTGCTGGAAGGCGAGCTCGCACTGTCTTTTGGAAGGGACAGGGGAACCTGGAGGAGTCATGGCCCGCTCTCCCAGCCCCTGGCTCGGGGTCACGACTGCAGGGAAGTCCCCAGGCTGGGCCCAGCACGCTCTGCTCGCCCACACTCACATGGAGCCGATGAAAGCGACGTCAAACCAGAAGGCCAGGCCGTGCACCAGCCCGGAATGCAGCATGTGGAATTTGAATGGGATTTCTATCCTGGGAGCAAAGGGCAGCATGAGCCACAGGGGCTGCCAGGCGAGGAGGGGTTAGCTGGGGGCAGGTCCTGGGGTACCACCCACATGCCCGGGGGTGGCAGAGTGCCCCGGGGAGCCAGAGGCCCTGACCCCTGCACAGCTGGGCCTGGAGGGCAGGCCTGGGCGCCATCGGTACCTGTGCAAATCTCCTTCTTTGGCTTCTAAGAAGTTCACCGTGTACTTGACAGACTTGGCCATCAGGATCCGGATGTCAAATGTGTCCTGGGAGAGACCACAGGTGTGACCTGGCTTTGGGTGCAGGGGCCAGTGAGGAGGGGAGAGCCCGGCCCCTCCCTGAGTCTGGCCATGGCCGCTAGGCCACTGGGCTAAAACCAGCTTGCCCTCGCCAGACCTGCTGGGGGAGGATGAACTGGCACGACACCACAGAGGGCAGTGGGATGGCAGCTCTCAAGTGACAACTGTTTACACACACTCAAGACTTGGCACTTCCACTTGTGGGAGTGTAACCTACAGATGAGTGTGGATGTGCATAGGCTTACACGCGTAATCACAGACTAAGGAGCGACACGTGGGTACCGTAGAATTAAGCCAACGGTGGCCCGTCTATAAAAGCCGGTGTGCGCGTGCAAAGGACGAAGAGGCTCCTTATGAACAGACGGGGAGAGATCTCTGAGAGGAATCATTAGCAAATTCACAAAAAAAGCAAGTTGGAGAACTGAGTGCTGACGTCCACTCGCAGCTACGATGGAGATTTTAGATCAGACTACCACTCCTGCCAAGAGCTACACGAGCCGAATGAAACACAGAGGAGGAAACAGCCCCAGCTGTGTGAAGGCGTTGGAGAGCACCTGCAGCAGCCGCGGCTTCGGGGCCAAGGTCCTAGAGAGAAGGGCGATGCTTCTGGCTCGAGCCTTTCCCCTTGGGGTGGGCCCTTGCAGGGGCCTCCCTGGGTGGGGAAAGCAACATGGGGCGCAGGGGGCCAAGACGCGAAGGAAAGAGGAAGTGTGGAAAAGGAGGTGGACATTCTGCATGCCATCTCACTGGGCGGCATCTGCCAATGTCTGGGGTGGGGTTAGAGAAACCCAGCAGAGACGGCTCTCAGACGCAACAAAGCCACAGTTGAGCAGCGTGTTGCTGCTGGGAGGCTGGGACGCGGGGCCCTGTGGACCACTGGGCGAGCTCACTGCGAGCGTGAGGGCCACGCCCTAAAGTAGCGGTTCTCAAAGCGCGGTCCCTTCAGAGCAGCCTCAAGGCCAAAACTGTTCATAACACTAAGATGTTTTCTGCCTTGTTCATTCGTTAAGGCAAAGCTGACATTACCACAGACTGAATGCGGAACAAATCCAACTGTCTTCTATTAAGCCAGAGATTAAAAGATTTGCAAATTAAAAATGCAACTATTCTCACTGGAAAGTTTTGGAAAATATGTATTTCTTAAAAATGGTATTTATGGGGCTAGCCCAGTGTTGCAGTGGTTAAGTGTGCATGTTCCACTTCAGCGGCCCGGGGTTCACCAGTTTGGATCCCGGGTGGGGACATGGCACCTCTTGGCAAGCCATGCTGGGGTAGCTGTCCCACATAGAAAGTAGAGGAAGATGGGCACGGATGTTAGTTCAGGGCCAGTCTTCCTCAGCAAAAAAGAGGAGGATTGGCAGCACATGTTAGCTCAGGGCTGACCTTCCTCAAAAAAAATGATAAATAAAATAAAAATTTTTAAAAATGCTATTTATGTTAACATGTAATGGGTTTACTGTTATTTTTAAATGAATTAAAATAAGTCAAAATGAATAAATGAATAAAAATATGTCTTTTTAGAGCCAGCCCTGATTGCCTAGTGGCTAGATCTGCATGCTCCACTCTGGTGGCCCAGGTTCGGTTCCCGGGAGCGGAACCACACCACTCGTCTGTCAGTAGCCATGCTGTGGCAGCTCACACAGAAGGACTTATAACTAGAATATACGACTGTGTACTGGGGCTTTCGGGAGGAAAAACAAATACGTATTTTTAAGTTTTTTGGGCTCAGTTTTTAATACCAATAGATACTAACGGTATATCAATAGATATACTGGATTAGATATAATGGTATACCAATAGGTATATCAATAGATATAACACACATTCACGAAAGTTCTTTGGGATCCTCCATTTTTAAGAACGCAAAGGGGCCCCAAGACCAAACAGTCTGAGAACCCTTGCTCTACAGGGAAGCTGGAAATAGACCAGCCAAGCGGAGCCTGAAAGCAGCCCCCACACACCTCAGTGCCTGCCAGGCCCGTGTGCTGCGTCCATGTGGCCGGCACTGCCTGAAGCACCGCCAGCCTGGGAGGGAGCCTCCTGCAGGGCTGCTCCAGTGCTCGGTACCAGGCACAGCGAGACAGAACCAGAGATGGAGAACCAAAACCCAGAGGATGAACAGAAGACGGGTACACTTACCATTTACCCAGATACTGAAGTCATCAGAGACTTACAATTACTGTGTGCAAGAAAAAAGGTGGAAAAATGGAGAATTTCAAGGAGAACCGAAATAGTGAAAAATACACAAAATGAAATTCTATAACTGAAACTAAGAAAATCAGATTAGACACAGCGAAAAGAGGACTGGAACTGGAAGGTGCATCAGTAGAAAATAAGAAAATGAAGCAACTGAGAGAAAAATGGATGGAAGATACAGAAGAGAGTGTAAGAATCATCTGAGACTGCTGAAAAGGTCTAATGTACACGGAATCAGAGTCCCAGAAGGAGAAAGAATGGGGCACGGGGAGGGTTTAAGGACATACTGCCCAAGAGCTTCCCGAAACTAATGAGAGACGTCAGGAGGGGGAAACAAGAATATATACCTCGTTAAAACAAAAGAAGGCAAGAAAAGAGTTAAAAAGAAACAACAGTCAGAATAAACAGAAAAATGGTAAGATGACAGATTTATACCCATATACAGACCAATAATTACATTAAATGTAAATGGTCTAAATATTCTAATTAAAAGATAAAAAACATCAATCTGGTTAAAAAACAGGACTCATATATATGCTGCTTATCTGAGAGAAAACTTAAGTAATAAGGATACAAAAAGGCTGAAAGTAGAAGGATGAAACAATATATTGTACAAAGGTTAACCAAAAGAAAGCCAGAGTAGCTGAACTACTATCAGAAAAAAAAGGAGACTTTAAGGCAAGAAGTACTCCTAGAGATAAAAAGAGGCACTTTTCATAATGACAAAAGGATCAATCAACAGGAAGATATAATAATCCTAAACCTGTATGCGCCTAATAACATAGTGTCGAAAAATATAAAGCAAAAACCAGCAGAACTAAAAGGAAAAATAAGTTAGTGATAGGACAAGTAGATCAAAAAGTCGGCAGAGAGAGAGACTGGACCGACACAATTCCCAGCTGTGACCTAATGGCATTAATACCACACTGTTCTCAACAAGTGACTAATACACTTTTTTCTCATGTACACACAGAACACACACCAGAGAGACTACACACTGGGTGTAAAGCAACTCTCAACAAATTTCAAAAGACTAAAACCATACATTGTATGTCCTCTGACCACAGAGCTAGTAAGAACTGTATGCTGATTATGCTATCTTTTGAGAGGAAAAAACGTCCAAATATCTATCTATTTGTATATGCACATTTAGGTAGAAAACTTCTGGAAAGACAGACAAGAGATACTGTTTGCCTCCCAGAAGGAGGACTGTGTGGCTGGGGACAGAAGTGGGAGGCTTTCCCCTTGTAAGTTTTTGGTTTTTGAACCTTGGTCTGTGTATCACTGTGAAAACCTCAATAACTAAAAATCCATCACCATCAGTCCACAGGCTGATCCACGTGTCTGGGGTCCATGTGTCTGGTGACAGCTCGCATGTACCGCGTGCTTCCCATAAGCTGAGTGTGTTACCTCCAGCATCCTCTGTGCTGGGGCGGAAGTGAGAGCTCCGAGAGGGGCAGTGGCTTCCTTAGGGATGCACAGCTTGCTCCCCTCGCCTCACCCCAGAGGAGGGCCATGTCCCACACGAACTGCGACAACGCCCGGGCGCCCCACTCACCACCACAGGCTGCCGGAAGTACTCGTCCACCGCGGCGCCTCGGAGGGCCGACAGGTCCACGCCGTGGAAGGAGGGCTGGTACCTGTGGGAAGGCCCGCCCATGGCGAGGTCACCGGCAGCTCGTCCGGCCCGTGTCTCAGGCCCCACGGAGGAGGAGGACAGGCGGCCGGCCGAGCAGGCGGCCCCGGCGCACTCACCAGAAGTTGGCCTTGGTGAACTGTTCCATGTAGAGCTGCTCGTCCGTGAAGGGTGCCAGGTGGACGTCACCGATGGTGGGGAACATGTTTCCTGGGAGCGAGGGGCAGGCAGGGTGCCAGTGTCAGGGTGGGACATCCCGCAGGGCCTGGGAGAGCCTCTAAGGGGCCCAGGACCCCCCACCCTGGGCCTTCCTGGCCTCTCATTCATTCATTCATTCATTCATGTGACACAGAGGTCCTGAGTGCCTGCTCGCCAGTGGCCCCAAGGAGCACATGACCTGCAGCACCTCCCTCAGCCTGGACAGCCAGTGGGGAGGCACGAGGCCCGCCGTGTGGCCCATTACCGGGGCAGGGAGGCGGGAAGGCTCCCCGAGGCTCGGGGGAAGTGAGTGGCGCCCAGGGTGTGGCCAGGACTTGGGGGCCTGCCATCCACAGGGCAGTGCCTCCCAGGCACTGTTTCCCTTGGACACCCGGGCAGCCGGGACAGCGAGGGTGAGCCCCAAGCTACGCCTGCCGTGACCTCAGCTGGGGCCACAGGCTGGTGGGGATCTGGCCGCACCCCCACCACAGGGACTGCCCAGGCTCTGGCAGGCAGGCGGGGGCCGCTTGGGCCTCCATCAGTGTGACTTAACGCACAGACAGATGAGTCCGGGCCAGCGGCGGGAGAGCCAGGCTTGGGAGGCCCCGGTCACCTGGCCACCAGATGTGGGCCTCCCCGTCCCTCCCTCCTCTCTGCGGGGGAGGGCCCTGAGGCACTAGCGGGAATCCGCCTTCTCCTTGAGCCAGAAGCCTGGGCTGCAGCCACTGCGGAGGATGGAGACGCTCCCTCTGGCTGGAGGCCCCCTGCCAGCCTCTGGGGCAGCCCCCAGCCCTGAATCCCCCCAAAGAGCTTTCTGAGATTGACTGGAGCCACACTCCCGCAGGCTGGGGCAGCGCAGGCCTGGGCCTCATCCTGGGCAGGCTGCTTGACCAGCAGGGTCTGTCCTCACATCCTGTGAGGAGCAGGCCACTCTGCTGGGGCCGCATCCCCGGCCCAGCCTGGCCCACGGGCAGGGTGGGATGGGAGGAGAGCGAGTCCAGGACAGTCCCCGGGCGGCCTCACTTTCCACACTCACGCCCAGGACGCAGGACACAGACACAGCACACAGCCGTGGGGAATGGCAGCCACCAGCCCCCCCAGGGAGGCGAGTGCGGGCAGGGCCCTGCAGCCTGCATCCAGGAAGGCTAGAGGGCTGAGGCGGGGGCCCCCCACAGACCCACCCACCCCCGCCCGCCACATACCCCGGCGGGAAGTCTGCCGGCTTCCCACGCTCTGCCCCTGCTGCTGCCCTAGCCAGTGACCCCGTGCCCCATGCACACACGCACACACACAACTCCTTGCTTATACATTAGTACTCAGACAAACCCAGAAGCGAGCAGAGAACCGACACACACCATGCAGATGCCCAGGGCTGTGCAGACACCCAGGGCCGTGCAAAGACCGCCCCTCCCAGTGACCCAATGGCCCAGGAGCACAGACAGGCAGGCAGCCACAGATGGGCACACTGGACAGCTGCCCCCAACACACGAGGACCCCCACCCCCGTCTCCCTGAGGGCCAGGTCCACAGCTGGGGATGAAGGGAGAAAGACGACAAGTCAGCCCCTCGGGAAGGGGCCCCCACGACTTCCCTGCAGCTTCTATACCACCACCTTCCTGCCAGACACTGTCCCCCAGACACCAGGGCACGAGATGGCAGGGGTGGCCCGAGGCTCTCTGGAGGCGTGAGCAGCCCAGGCAGGAGGCTGTCTGGCCTGCTTTGGGGTAGGGAGCGAAGGCCCAGACGACCCTTGCACCGCAAGCCGCCGCCGAGGCCAGCAGGCAGCCGGACCACAGTCGTGCCGGAGGCGAAGCGCCCAGGGCCTCTCCAAAGGTACCCTGGGCCCAGCAGCCAAGGGCTACTCACCGCCAGGCCGCAGGTACTTCTTGGCGTGGAGGTAGCTCTCGAGCATGCGCTCGTTGAAGAGCATATAGCCCATGGGCTCCGAGATGATGATGTCCACCTGCTCGGGCAGCGAGACCTCCTCCACCTTCCCGGGGATGACCACGATGCGGTCGGTGAGGTTGTTACTCTTCACCAAGACCTGCGGGCGGGCGGGCGGGCCAGGGACATCACTGGGAGTCCCTGCGCCCACCCGCCATGGGGCCGTCCACATGTGGCCACCAGACGCCCTCTGCCTCCCTCGTCGGATCCTAACCACAGCTGCGATCAGCCGGGCGCCCTAGGAGCTCGCGGCGGCCCCAGCCCTCTCCTGGCTGCCCTGCCGCGGCTGCCCGCCCCTGACATCAGCTTCACCCCGCGGGGACAAGTGCTGACGGGAGCAGAGACAGGGGCGGGAGACTTTGCTCCAGCCACCAGAGCAGAACCTGGACACACCGTCCCGCCCAGGGATTCCAGGGCCAGGAACTTGTCCTGGGGACAGTCACGCAGGGCAGAGGTGACAGTGTGTCAGCATTCAGTACAGCGCTGGTCTGCAGAGACTGCGAGCAGCCTAAGTTCGCCAACACTCTGTGTCTACACAAAAGATGCTCTGCAGCCACGGGGAGGAGCGAGGAGGCTCCATACGCGGCAACACAGTGGAGACAGCAACGCGGGGCCGAGACGGCAGGTCGGCTGGGAGCCGGGGCAGGGTGCGTGGGGGGCGTCTTCACTCGTTACCCTTTTGTAGCTTCCAGGTTTGGAACCTTGTGGATGAAGGTTTCAGTGCATTTTTCCCCAAAGAGAAATGGAAATGACAGCGGACACCCATAAAATGAAATCCTGAGGTGAAATGCATTTTGCAAACGTGGGAAGTGGGGTGCAGAGAGGGTGACCGCTGGCCCGGGGCCTGTGTGACTGCACAGTCTACCCCCTGTAGGCCCAAACCACCCCTGAACCCCGTGGGTGACCCCCAGTCATGGAGGGGACATGGCCCCAGGGTCAGCAAGCCCCTCTCCCTCCCAAAACCATTCAGTTTGGGGGACAAGAAACTCAAGTAGAGAAGTGATGTCCCCAGCCTCCCCTGATCTGGGGGCAGGTCTCCTGGGGCCTCCCAGCAGGGCTGGCTTCCCCAGGCTGGGAGAGGACAAGGACGAGGACGGGCCGGGAGGCCCCGCAGGCCGCTGACCTCGGCATGCTGGGCCATGGTGCTGGCCTCCACCGCATAGATCTTCCTTGCTCCGGCCTGGGCGGCGAAAAACGACAGGATCCCAGAGCCACAGCCCACGTCAAGGACGATCTGGGGAGGTGGGGTGGTGAGAACAAGACGCCAATGAAGGGACAGACATCACCAGTCTGAGCCCTGCCAGACAACCCCACTGGGTGTGCCCCGTGCTGCGAGGAGCACACGAGCCCCAGCTCTGGGTCTGAGGGCAGCAGAGCGGGACTCGCACAGACGGCGAGGACGGGAAGCCCATTACACACTCTCGGACCCGAGAAGGAATGGTTTGGGCTGTGGGTTGATGCAGCATGGGGGACAGGCTGTCACTAGTGTCACGGTGCCCAGAGTCTCTCTGGGAACAAGCGCTTGCTAGGTAAGGGCATTCTGAGCCCGGCTGTGTGACCACTGAGGCTTGGCCCGACCAGGCAGGCCCACCTGGAGGGCACCAGGTGGGCAGGCTCCGGCTCCAGGCCCCACAGGGCGTCAGCACGCTGGGAGGGGCCCCCGGGCCTCTGGGTCAGCTGGGCTGAGGACCAGCTTGGCAGCTGAGTGTGTGCTCCCGGGACCTCTGCAGCCCTCGCAGGGACAAAAGGGGCCCAGGGGCCGTGGGCGGAAGCATCTCCTGGCTCCGTGCTGACCCTGCCTGCAGAAGTGGCCAGTGGCTTGGCTGGGCGCCCCCTGAAGAGCTGCCGGCCCCTGTGCCGTGGGCTCTTGGAAGAGTCCAGGCCGGGGCATGGTAGACTGTCCCACGTTCTGGATTCGTCGGATTGCTTCCTCACAAGCAGCATCAGGAGAAAAGTTTCTGGGGTGACAGGCACGCTCTAACAGAGAACTGCTCTAGGCGCAGAATGAGCGCCCGGGGGTGCTGGGACCGTCACATGGGGGCCTCGGGGAGCCCACTGGAGCTCTAGGTGAGCCAAGGAAGGGATGTCTGTCCTGGGGGAGCTCGCAGGGACTTCGCTGAAGGAGCGTGCCCCTCCTGGGGCTCAGCGTGGCCTGCTCAGGAGGCCACCCGGCCCGGCGAGGACAGTGCCTCCCCAGCTGTGGGCTGGGTCCTGAGGGGATTCCAGCACTGCTGGGGGCATGACCAGGGCACCGGCTGCTGAGGGCGCGGACCTGTGGAGAGCCCTGACACACGCTGGGAAGGCACAGGCTCCCGGGGGGTCCAGAGACTCCAGGCCGTGGGAAGAGAGGGAGTAATCGCTCACCTCTGATCACGCATACTCTGCCCTGCTCGCTCCTTCTAGTCACGAGTATGCGTCACTCGGCAACGTTAAGATTTTAAAAGGAACCGGGGAAATAACTAGGTAAATTACACTACATTCATGGGACTCAATAATAAGTCCCAAGACGTCCCACTAGGCGGGGGAGAAGTATTTTGCAAGAAGAGCACATAAACTACAATCCCATTTTGTGAAAAAAAAAAAGGTTGAATGAAATAACTCAAAAATATATACACTGGCAGCCAGCCCGGTGGCGCAGTGGTTAAGTTCGCATATTCCGCTTCTCGGCAGCCGGGGGTTCACCGGTTCGGATCCCGGGTGCGGACATGGCACCACTTGGCGTGCCATACTGTGGTAGGCGTCCCACACATAAAATAGAGGCAGATGGGCACGGATGTTAGCTCAGGGCCAAGCTACCTCAGCAAAAAGAGGACTGGCAGAGTTAGCTCAGGGCTAATCTTCCTCAAAAAAAAAAAAAAAAAGCTGGTACAGTCATGCACCGAATACTGACATTCGGTCAATGACAGACCGCGTATCTGAAAGTGGGCCCATAGATGAGTCCCACGGAGCCTGGGTGTGTAGGGGGCTGTCCCAGCCAGGCTGGCGTAAGGACGTGCTGTGATGTTCACACAAAGACAAAATCACCTAACACATTTCCCAGAACACAGCCCCGCTGTTAAGCGATGCGTGACTGCATACAATGGGGAGAAACCTGGAAGCGACCTTCACTGCTGCCCGCGGTCATTCTGGAGGGAAAGGACAGACCTTCCATGGCTGTATTAGACACCCTGGGTCCCGACACAAAGATTTTGCTTTTGTAATCCGAAAAAAGTAAAAATAAAGTCAATGAGCAAAAAAAACCTGGAGACAACTGACAGCGAGGTGGGCACGGCGGGCAGAGGCGTGGGGGGCGGGGCGCCTGCGGAGCCACTCACCTTGTCCTTGAAGTCCGTGTGGTTCTGCAGGATGGCGCGCTGGTAGGTGCCCGTGCGCACGTAGTCCTGCATCATGTTCTGCTGCTGGGACAGGTAGCCGTAAAACTGCAACAGACAGGCACCAGTGGCACAGGGCGACAGACACAGGTGGCCGAGGCCCTGGCCGGCCAGCGACATGGGGGCCGCCTCGGGCAGAAACTTCCATCTAGAGGCCGTCTCCCCGCTACCGCCAGCCTGGCCCCCAGGAGGGACACCGCCCACCGTCACCGTGTCCAATGCAGCCTGGAGCTGGAAGCCAATCGGGAGAACTCAAGACTTGCCCTGGGCGGGGTTCTGAGATCAGGGGCCCCAAAGAAGCAGATCTGACAGAACCCAGAACTCAGAGCACCAGGTGAACGGGGTGCTGGGGTCTCTGTAAGACGACAGGCACTGGGAGGCGGTGTGGCCTGGGCGGAGGCCCGGGCCTCGGCATCGGGCAGACCTGGCCTCCCACCTTGGCTCTTGTGCATAAGAGCTGTATGACTTGGAACAAGTCTGAAGCTCCCTGAGCCTCAGTTTTCTCATCTGTAAAATGGGGACAATAAGAGTCCTTCCCTCCTCGAGTTGTCGGGAAGGAGGCGAGGCCTCCGTGTGTCTGACGCGTGTGGACCAGCGCCGGCCGCCCCACCCGCTGCGGACGTTCCGGCCACACTCGCCTTCCGCACAGTGCTCTCGGCTCTGAGCAGCAGCTGCACTCTGATCCTTGCAGCAGCCCCTGGGCAGGCACTGGCGTGTCCATTTCACAAACACGGAAACTGAGGCCCAGCGAGTGGAGGAGCCCTGCCCGAGGGGACGAGCTGGTGGGGGCAAAGCCAGGCTGGGCAGCCGGTGGCCCTGGGCCACGGCCGCAGGGACCCACCTGGAAATACTGCACGGCGGAGGACTCCTCGGTGCGCTCGCTGAACACCGAGCGCTCCAGGGTGTGGCCCCGGCAGGTCTTCAGGATGTTGTAGAAGGAACAGAAATCTGCAGGGGAGAGCTGGGTCATGCGCAGCCGTCGCAGGGGCACGGGGACCAGAGGGACCGGGGACCCTCTCTCCAAAGAGGTGCACACCCGACTTTTCCACCTTGAGCACATGCGACATGACGATTTCTTTTTCCCAAATATTTAAATTTGGACAAGAAGAAGGGCAGCCGAGCCTGCCATGTGGCTGCTGACACGGGAGGAGGCAGGTGTCCGCACTGGGGGCCGGGGTGCTCCACAGGGTGGGTGGCGGCGGGCCTGGGCGCTTCCTTGTCAAAGGAAGTGCGGCGAAGCCTCCGGAGGGCACACGCCCGCTGACCCGGGCACAGAACCTCTGGGCTTCGTCCCAGCAAATAACCACTAGCCCACCGAGCGGCTCACAGCGTGTCTGTGCGTGGCAGTGGACACAAGGGACGCCATGCCTCGGTGACAGTAAGAGGGGACTGAGAAACAGTCAGAGACGCCATCACCGTGGGTCTGCAGGACTGATGGTATGCGGCCCTTTAAAAGGAACTGTGTTTATTAACACAGACGATGGCTGCTGAATTGCATCAAGCAATTCAAAATCCAGAGAGACAGGAGGAGGTGGGGCCAGGGGCTGGGGAGGGGAGGGGGAGCTGGTGTTTAATGGGGACAGAGCTTCAGTTTGGGAAGATGAGAAGGTTCTGGAGCCGGCTGGTGGGGACGATTGCACAACAATGTGAATGTCCGTAATGCCACTGAACTGGACACTCAAAAAGGGCTCAAATGGGAAGTTTTTTGGTACGTATACTTCACCACAATTTAAACAACAGATAGGATCGAAAGGGGAAAAAGCAAAATGCAAATATTCACACAGTAGAAAAAGACTAGAGGGGGCCAGCCCCGATGGCCTCACGATTAAGTTCGGCACACACTGCTTCGGCGGCCTGGGTTCAGTTCCCGGGCACAGACCTACATACCGCTGATCAGGTCATGCTATGGCAGCATCTCACATACAAAACAGAGAAAGATTGGCACAGATGTTCACTCAGGGCCAATCTTCCTCAGCAAAAACAAACACATACTAGAGGGATCTAAGCCACCAACTTCCAATGGTTAACCCTGGTGGTGTTTCCTCTCTCTTTTTTTTAACAATGAACTTAAGTTATTCCTGGAGGAAACGGGCTGTAGGGCTCAGGTCCCTTCAGGGGTCTCCAGCCCTGGTCGTCCCACTGCCCCCACTGCTGCCCCTGCCCCATGCCACCAGCAGCGCTCGCTGGGGCTCGCCAGCCCCTCCGTAACCTCATGTGTCCACTCGTGTCCCGTACGCGCGTCTGCTCAGCACCTTCCGGTGGCTTCTCTGCGCTCCGCCCGCCCCAGCCCCTCGTCCTGCCCATCCTCCAGTGTCGGCTGGGCCCGGCCCAGACCCTGACGGCCTCCTCCAGGGGCCGGGGCTCTGGGAGGAGGGAACAGGGGCCAGGCCCGCGGGGCGGGAGGGGCATCGTACCGTTGGGCGTGGCGAACTGGATGAGGACGCTGTTGCAGCCGAGCGTGATGATGAAGGACTGCTTGCCCACGCGGCTGCACTCGGTCTCCCGGGACACGGAGCACTTGAACACGCACACGTCTTCATCTACAATGACAGAGGCGGCGTGAGCCACAGGTCCCCGGCCGGCCACGAGGCTCTGCTCAGCCGCCTCTGCCTGAGCCATGTCCCTGCCACCCTCACCCACTCCTCTCGGCTCCCAGATTCTTCCGGGTGCTGTGAAACCGCCCTGCACGCGCTGCTGCGTGCCCTGCCTGTCAGCCCTCGCTGAGGACGAGGGGGTGGCCGAGCAGGCGACAAGGACGCAGGAACAATGCCTGCGGGACAGGAGGCCGGGTGTGCCAGGGCCACCAGGGCTGTGACGGGGGTGCCAGGCGCTGTGCGGCCCAGCGAGGCCTCTGGGCCCAGGGGCGCCTCTGCCAGGACACTGCCTCCTGGTGCACCTCCTGGCGCCAGGCCCCTGTGCACCCAGCGGGCACTGCGGTAGGGAGACATAGCCGCCAAGGGCAAGGTTTGCAGGGTCAGAGGGTCATGGGAGCCGCTTCCCAGCTGAGGGAGGCGGGCATGCATCTGCCAATCCTTCTGGGTCACATGGGGTATCACTGGCCTTCATAGCTGGGGGAGGGTCAAGAGGGAATTCCCAGGGCCCTTTCTAGGTTCTCCGGCTGAGCCCTTCCTCCCTGTCCTGGGGCAGCATAGTGACCGTGAGCCTGGCCGCTGGAGGACAGCCTGGGCTCATGCCCCGTCCACGCCACTCAGTGTGTCCCTTGACCTCCCTGAGCCTCGGTTTTCTCATCTACCAAATGGGACTGACGGGGGGGGGCAGGCAGAGGGCCCAGCACATGACAGTCCTGCATCCCGCGCGCGCCGCCACGACTGTTTCCAGTCATTCCTTCAACGAGCACGTGGTGTGCCCAGCTCACCAAAGCGGGGCACTGAGTGCCAGCAGGAACAGGATGAACCACACGACGCTGCGGCCCTGAGGCAGTGCAGCGGGCAGACGCCGCGTTGGTGTCGTGTTCTTGGCAAAAACGTTACCCTGGTCCCATCACAAGGGGACAACAGCCATGGCCAGGTCACGGGGACAGTCTGCAAGACAACCTGGCTTGTCCCCTCTAAACGGCAATGTCAGGAAAGACGACCATTGCTGGGAAGGGTTCCAGAGTGAGGGAGACAGGAGCCGCGCCCGTCACATGCTGAGTGACCTGGGACTGAAGCCTGACGAGACGCTCTCCAAAAGCTACGGAGGCCACGTGGAGAAATGTGAGCGTGGACTACAGGTGCGGTCATTTTAAATGATGTGATGACAGCATTGTGGTCTGCAGAAGAACACCCTTATTCTTAGGAGACTCGCGTGGAAGTATGTAGAGAGAATTCTCGTGATGTCTGCAACTTATGCAGACAATGACGAAATAGATGCATGGAGAGAAGCACGTGTACAGATGGGCAGAAGTGTTCCCAACCGCCCCAGGAGAGCCAAAGCAATCTTGAAAAAGAGCAAAGTTGGAGGACTCACACTCCCAGGTTTCAAAACTTACTACCAAGGTGCAGTAATCAAAACAGAACAGCATGGCCAAAGAGAGACAGAGATCAGTGGGACGAACTCAAGAGTCCAGAAGTCAGCCCTGTCGTTTACAGTCAGTTGATTTTTAACAAGGGTGCCAAGAGCATCCAACAGGGAGAAAATATTCTCTCCCACAGCTGGTGCTGGGACGAGCGCTCTCCACGTGCTTCTGCAGGGACCCCTACCTCACACCACACACACAACCCAACTCAAACGGGTCAGGACCTAAATGTACGAGCAGCAACTGTAGAACTCCGAGAAGAAAGCACAGGGGCAAATCTTCAGGACAGTGGGTTTAGCAAAGGACTCCTAGATTCGACACCCAAAGCAAGAGTATCAAAACAAAAACTCGATAAATTGGATTTCACCAAAATCAAAAACTTTTGTGCATCAAAGGACACTATCAAGAAAGTGAAAAAACCTACTGGACGGTGGAAAATGTTTGCAAAGCACATACCTGAGAAGGATCTAGCATCTGGAATATATAAAGAACTCTTAACAACAAAAAAGATAAACAGCCCGAGTCAAAAAGGGGCTAAGGGGGCTGGTCCCGTGGCGTAGAGGTTGGGTTCGGGGCACTCTGCTTCAGCGGCCCAGGTTCACGGGTTCGGATCCCAGGCACGGACCTACACCACTCCTCAGCCACACTGTGGCGGTAACCCACATATAAAAAATAGAGGAAGACTGGCACAGATGCTAGCTCAGGACGAATCTTCCTCGACAACAAGGGGCAGAGGACTTCAACCGACATTTTTCCAAAGAAGACACACAGATGGCCGAGAAGCACGTGAGAAGATGCTCACCATCGCTAATCAGCAGGGAAATGCAAATCAAAACCTCAGTGAGCTACCACTGCACACCCACCACCATGGCTGTAATTTAAAACCAAAAAGGGGAAAAGAACAAGTGTCGGTGAGAGATGGGGAAATCGGAACCTTCACACCCTGCTGGTGGGAACGTAAAATGGTGCAGCCGGCATGGAAAACAGGTGGTTCTTCAAAAGTTAAACATAGAATTACCGTTTGACTCAGCAACCCCACACCAAGGTACAGACCCAAAGAACTGAAAGCAGGTACTCAACACACACTCGTATGCAAATACTCAAAGCAGTGATGTTCACAAGAGCCGAAAAGTAGAAGCAACTCAGATGCCCACCAGCCGAGGAGCGGCTAAACCAAACGTGGTAAAACCATACAAGGGCATACAATTCAGCCACAGAAAGGCAGGCAGTCCTGACACTCGCTACCACGTGCATGGACCTCAGAAACACGCCGCCAAGGGAGAGAAGTCAGACACAAGAGGTCACACATTTGTGATCCCACTTAAATGAAACATCAAGAAATCGGTAAGTCCACAGAGACAGAAAGCAAATTGGCGGCAGCCAGGGGCTGGGGAGGGAGAATGGGAGCGATTGCTTCATGGATACAAGGTCTCCTTTTGGGGTGACGACATGTTTTGGAACAGGACAGAGGTGACGGTTACGCAATACTGTGAGCGCACCAAACAGCACTTAATTACACACCCTGCGCGGGTTTGTTTAACACTATGTAAATTTTATCTCAATAGACAAAGATCACCGTTCGATGTGTGAATCTGGAGCTGAAGGGCCTCAGGCTGTGCACCGTGGCCTTGCTCTCCGCCTGTGTAGTCTGAGCACTGGGCCGGGGCCAGGCCGTGGAGGAGGGCTCCTGGGCCACAGCGGGGCACGGTCACCCTCCTGGCCACGGATGGGAGGGAAGCGTGTCCTGGCCACCACGGCCCCAGGCTCACCCACAGGGGACCCAAGATAAGGGGCTGCCAAGTCCAACAATAAGCAGGTCCCAGGAAGGGACCCCACACCCTGGCATGGTGGCCATGCCCACACCCCTCCTGGGGCAGGAGATAAAGCCGATCTGTTGGCTGCGCCAGGGTGACAGTGAGACCAGAGAAGGCCTCTGTTTACGAAGCAGCCTGGCAACCCAACCAGTTGCCCTGGGCGCCCCCTGCCACCTGGCGCCGGGCAGGCGACCACAAGAACCTGTGGCTGAGCGCAGGCTGGCTGCGTCCAGAGGGGCTGGGCTCAGGCCAGGGAGGCCAGCGCCGAGGGTGACCTGACCCGTCCAATCACGGCAGGGGCACCCACCACCCAAGGAGGCAGGCTTTCGTAAGAGTCACGGCTATGCCACCCCCAGGCCAGCCCCAGGCACCCAGGAGACGCTCGGTAAATATCTGACAAACCAAAATGAAAAGCTGGACCACATTCCTAGAGCTTTTCAAAGCTTCAAGAGAAGCCCAAGCTCTGGGGCTGGCAGTGCAGGCCTGGCACGACCATACTCCTCGCTCATCAGTCTCTCCCCTCCCCAGCCCTTCCCTGCGGGCCAGCTCCGGCCTTTGCACATGCTGTTCCCTCCCGCCGTCCCCCCTTTTGCCAGGACGAGCTCTCAGGACGAAGGGCGGTGGTGCCCCTATCTGCCAGTGGACAGCACGCACAGGGCTCTGCTCACTCAGTGGCCTGGGGCCCCCGAGGCCGGGCAGAGCTGGGATGCACACCCCACCTCCTGGCTGTGGATGGCTCCCAGGGGAGAGAGCTTGCCCCCCAGAAAGTGCCTAGGGCCCAGACCCCACGGGGCCTGGACCCAGCAGTGGTGGTCAGGTCCCCCCAGCAGCGCGGCCCTGGGGGCCAAGAAACCGCCTGGCAGCCTGGAAGGTGGGCCCCTCCCTCTCAAGTCACCATGACATTCAGCCATCAATGGGTGACCCTGAAGAGGCGGGAACTTGACTGTGTCCGGACTCCAGGAACCAACCAGAGAGCACCCCCCTATTCTGGCAGCCGGCGTGTCAGGAGCTGTGGACACACGGCCGGCCCAGGGAACCAGGCAGCAGAGAGGGGCTGGCGGGCCACTGGACCTCGAAGGGGGTTGTGGGCCAGAGGCTGTGCCAGGCTCCCGGTTCCTCTCTCTGCAGTAGGACGCACAGGCTGGAGGTGGGCAGAGCAGAGGCTCTCCTGAGGCGGGGTCCAAATGGGGGGCAGGGAGAAAAGGACTCCAGACTGGGAGCATCCATCACGCCAGGACTGTCTGCCCCACTTCCAGACCCCGCCGGGTACCGTGAGCTGGCCTCCCACCCGCCACGCTGCCAGTCTGTCCTGCAGAGGCTCTGGGTGGGGGGTGAAGGGCCACCACGGCCAGGGCCAACCCTGCAGGGTGAGCAGTGCTTGGGACCCCGGGAGGACAGGAAACCACCCCACCTGGCTTGCTCCCGGGAAGCAAGGCTCCCGAGCACCCATGTCATGAACCCCAGTCCCCATGGGGAGCTGGGCCCGGCACTCGCCCACACTCCGCTGAGCCTGGGATGGGGCTGAGATGTCAGACCATGAGGACCAGCACTTTCCAGGGCCAGGCTCTGTTCCTGCGCTTTCCCCTGACTCCTCATAGCACCCCTGGGAGTATCTACTGTTACCGCCCTGTTGGCTCGAGGAACCGGGGCTCAGAGAGGTTAGGTGTTTCACTCAAGGTCACACAGTGAGTGAGTGGCCGAGCTGACT